CTGAGGGATTTCATTTGCTTCATTGTTATGGTCCGGTTCCTTGTACCACGATGATAGTCCAAGGTAGAACCAATGAAGAAGAACTCGAACACGTATATGGAATAAAAGATATATTACAAACAGGAATATATACAGAGAAGTAGAAAGTGTCAGTACGAACAATAAGGTTTAGTAGAGAGAACAATGTAGTCTCGACCAGTATCACTATTCCAATGTCTTGTAGTAATTGTCTGAACGTGACTCTGTTTCGGGCTGCCTATAACTCGACTGACTGACTCGCTCGCTCTGACGGACCTCACTCCAGACTTCAGACTGAACAGTATTTAGTCACCCCCCTCCCCCGACGGGGGCACCATGTGGCACAAGGCCGCTTTAACGTATAAATATGCCCTTTGAACCCGTATAAACGGGTTCACGTTCGGTTTACCACCCCGAAAGAGACTCCGCCCTTTGGCGTAGCCTCGTTCGGGTTCCTCCCCGCCCGTAGGCAGAGAGTTCAATCGATCTGCCGGTCGTCCGACTTCGGACTGAACAGTATTTACTCACCCCCCCACGAGGGCATAATCTGGCACAAGGCCGGTTCAACGTGGGATCTCCGAGCCCGTGTGCTCGGACAAAAATATGCCATTTGAACTCGTAAAAACGGGTTCAAGGTCGGTTTACCTCACCGAAAGAGACTCCGCCTTTCGGCGCAGCCCCGTTCGGGCTCCCCCCGCCCTAAGACAGAGAGTTTAACCGATCAGCAGGTCCGCCGGTCGCCCGTCTTCCGACTGAACTCCCTGCTTCCTCTTGAGGCGCAGTATTTATTACGTATGGAATAGTCTATTATGTTATTATGGGTAAGGTCACATAACATTTATATATCCTGCAACATAGACTACAGTTTTTTACTGGTTACTGTCGAACAATCACGTGGTCAAGATAACCACTCAGTTGTGGAGCAAGCTGAGTGAAGAACTAATTCAACATAGAGACAGAGCTATTTATGGTGCAATGGAGCATCTCATTATGCTAAAGTGGGATAGTCCATTGCTTGGGCTGTGATTGGCTGCTGGTACCTGAGTGGAAGTATTACTATATAAATACTAGCATGATTTCTCAGTTTGCAGGATATGTATTAAGTTACAGATGAGTATTGGTTTTGTTACTGATTAATTTTTGGACTGTTGCTGACTACTTTTCTCTGTGATTTGACCTGTGGCCCTTGTGAACTGCATTTTGTTTAAAGTTTGTTTATTTTATTTACGACTTTATTGTAAAAAGTTTTTGATTTTTTCCTTTTTTACTCTCCATTTTTTTCCCCCCTTTTTTTCTGTTTATTTTTTACTCTTTATTCTGTTTATTCCCTTTTTTTTATTTGTTTTTTCTTTTAATCTAGTTTTCTTTTTTAATTTAATTTCGTTTTTTTTCTCCTGTAATTTCCGCCTTTTTTTTTTTTTCTTCTCATTTCTACCCTTTAATTTTTTTTTTTTTTTTTTTTTTCTTTCTAGTTTTCCGTTTTAATTGTCATTTTTTTTTATTTTTCGTCCTGTTCTTTATTCTGTGTTTTGCTGTAATTTCTTATTAATTTTTTATTTTAATTGTTTTCTTTTTTTTACGTGTTTTTTTTTGCTTGTAATCGTTTTAATCTATTAATTTATTTTGTTTGTTTTTGGTTCGACTCGCTTAGGGTCGGCCATTTTTATTTTTTGTGTCTAGCTTCGTTTGTCTTAGTTACGTATTTTTTTTTATTTTGTATTTTGGTTTTGTAACTAGCTTTGTGTTATAGTTTCGTAATTTTTTTGTTGACGTCGGCCATTTTGATTTTTTTTTAGCTTCGGCTTTTGTTGAAGTTTTCTGTTTTTTTTTGTCTAACGTTTTTGTGTTTGTCTTTTATTGTTTCGCCTTTAGGCGATATTTTATTTTATTGTTTTCTTTATACGTTTAAGTGAAGCGTGTTTATTCCCTTATTGTAATTTGGTGTGCATAATTATTTTTTAGTTTGTTTATTTATTTTTTTTTTTCCTCTCGCCCATAAATTTATTTCCCATCCCTCCCCCTTTCCCCTCCCCTTGAAAAATGGATAAGAAGGAAAAAAAAGTGCCTTCTTTCTTAATTACGAAAAAGAAGCCAAAAATTGCGTCTTTCAAAAGAAATATGAGGAAACACCTCTTTAACCCCAAGAAAGACCCACCGGATAAGAATAATAAGGAGGAATACCCGGACCTTCCAAGAGTTCCTACAAATGAGGAAATTGTAGAAACTTTGAGAAAAGCCTCCGAAAATATGGAGGCGGAAAAAAGCAAAAATCATGAAAACCAAGAAAAGGACAGCGCATCTATGAATGCAGAGGCCGGGGAATCGCCCTCTTGTTGGTCGTCCCCACCGAAATGTATCATCAATCTTGCGGAGTTCTTGGAGCGTGCTAAGAGTTACGCTCACCTTGTCGTAGAAGGTGGACTCTTAGAAGACCCCCAGGAATTGAAGAAGATTGAGAAACGAATTGTGTCAGTTTTCGTCGTCGACAAGCGTACGCGCAAAATTTGTCGCTCGACGAAAAACATAGTGTTAAAATCACTAGAGTCCTTGGGGTTTAAGCCCTAAGAATAGTTAAGGGCTCAAGTTTTTTTCATGTGGGACGTACTGTTACCCACAGCAGAAGATTGCGTAGCTGCGGCGAGCCGGGAGCTAATTACAAAAGACCTGATCCTGCGCACGGAGTATGAAGGCCGCAGAAGGACCAGGGTAACAGTATATGAGGTCCCTCCTCAGGTTATCGGTGAGCATCTCGCGGCTTTCTTTACCCAGTACGGCGAAATTCTGGGCGCCTCATGTGATAGCCTGAGCGGGGGGTGGAGCTTTGACATCATGTTGGATGAGAAAGCCTTCCGCTCCGTCCCCAACTGTCTGGTTGTTGGAGGCTTGAAATTACCGGTCATAGTAACAGGCCGAAGACCGGTATGCTGGAGGTGCGGAGTGACTGGTCATCTCTCCTCCTCCTGCCCAGAGAAGAAGGCCTCTGGAAGTCAAGCGCCAGTTACTCAAGATCCCCCTCTGACCGCGTCTCTAAATTCCGCCTCGCCTGTAATGGGCGTACCAGCCTCCGGGACCGGGTCGGTTAAACCACCGGTTGAGATTACATCGAAGACCTCATTCCCCAAAAGAGCCTTCGCCCGCTGCCGGTGCAGTTGAGGAGAAGGGGGGGGGGAATGGCTGGTGGCTGGTAAGGCCAGAGGAAGCGCCGGACAGCGGGTCCTCAGTCCCCTGAAGCCCCAAGGAAGAAGGGCACTAACAGTCCCCTCCCCTAGCAACGTTAAGGGCGATGCCCCGGCCTCAAACCTGTCATTCAAGGAGATGCAAAAAAGTTCGATCCCGGATTCGAAAAAATCGGAAAAATTAAAAGCACTGAAAAAAACAACTAGATGCAAAAGGAAAGACCCAATCTCTTCGTCTCCTGCTAGTCCCTCCCTTCACCAAAGAAACAACCCCCACCTTCAACCATTTCACCAGCCAAAGACAAAGCCCATAGCAGAGATCCCAGCCCCTATAGACACAGGTCTTTTACACCCCCTTGAATACTCACTCCTTCTCCTGTCAAAAAAAATCTACCCCCTTCATACCCCCAAGCAATCACCGGCAAAAAATGCCGAAATGCCTCCTCCTGCTACAAAGCGGCACAGAAGCCCCACAAAAGAGGAAAGGAAAGATAGAAAAAAAAGATTCCTCTACAACACTGGTGAGGAGGTGTGCAGGATTTCCCCAGCACAGGCCGAGAGAGCCAAAGATTATGGCAACAGGGTGAAAGATTTAAAATATCTGCTCTCAATTAAACAATTTGGAGATAAGGATATAGAAGACCCAAATAACTTTCCAAATGCCCAGAGGGTCCTGACTGTTATTAGGTCAGGACCTGCGGCCAACCAAACCTGGGCCATGGTGGAAGAGGCAGTAAACACATGCAAGATGCCTCTACCCATCGCCATCGTGGCTAATGAAAATCTTAAAAAGTTACAACAGTTCTGTTCAGGGAGGGTCCCTATTTTAGTTCACCCATCCCTATATAGAGCTCTTAAACTGACCTTCCCTGGGATATCGGCGGTATCTCCCAAGACGGCACCATCAAGAATGAGATGGGCCATGGGTCTATGGGAGAGGCTGTCGGTATCCTTACCCCGGCCATGTTTAATGCTGGTAAACAACCCTAATCGGACTTCTCATGGCTCTCTGGTTAGCTACTTTAAATGTGCGGGGCCTGAGGTCCGAGTCTCGCAGGGCGAGGCTCTCTCGTGACCTTCAGCGCCTCAGGGTGAATGTGTGTTTGTGCAAGAGACCCGGTTTTCTTCTCATGACCGTGAGGATATACTGTCTAAGGGGTTCGCCCTTTATTCAGCATGTTTTGATGGTCGTTCGAGGGGTGTCTCTTGGCTAGTGAGCAAGTCTTTGAAGGCTGCATGTACCCTTGTCTTCGCAGATCCGGCGGGCAGGCTTTGCGTGCTGGATGTTACTATAAAGGATAAGGCTTTACGTTTCATTGGGGTTTATGCGCCCAATGTTCATACTGAGCGGCCTGCTTTGTTTCGGCAGATCGAGCCGTTTTTGACGACTTCTCGTCGGGTAGTCTTAGCGGGGATTGGAATGCCGTCCTTGACCCTGAGATAGATCGCATAGGTAAAAAACCGGGTACTAACAATCCTGATGTGAAGGCATTTCGGGGCTTTATCGGCAGGTTTGATCTTGTCGATAAGTACCGGAATGAGCACCCTCAGGAGGTAGCATGGACTTGGACTACTAGTGGCGACTCGGTTCCTGGCTCGCGTGCGAGCTACCTGGACCGAGTGTTAGTTAGGAGAGTCGATGTAGGGCTCTTAGAATGTCCAAGTTTTCACTATATAGTTTATACGGATCATAGGCTTGTCCGGGTCCGTGTAAACTTAGATAAGCCTAAGGTTAGAATGGCTGGTTACTGGAAATTTAACTGTTCACTTTTTGGTGAGCAGGATTTCCGGGACCAGCTGCTACTAATGATTCAGAGGGAATTGACGGGGGCGGTTGTGGGAAACGCCTGGTGGGGAAAATTAAAATCAAAAATTAGAACGTTTGCTGCCGATTTTAGCCGTCGGCTCAATCTAGATAGACGAGCGGCGCAAACGGCTTTAGAGGAAAAGGTCGATCGGGCTGTTAAATCCCGTGTTAGTGGGGACATAGTCTTAGCTAAGGCAGAGTTGGCCTCCTTGCTTATCAAGAAGGATCAAGCTCTGGTAGTTAGGGCTAGGCTAAAAAGAATGTCTTCTGAGGCGACGAATATGGCCGCAGAATTGCGCGCAGAGGAAAATCGGAACGCGGATAAGCGACATATAGCGTGCGTCACATTGCCGGATAAGCGGACCGTGACTACAAGCGCGGGCATATGCGAGGCCTTTCGGCTTTTCTTTCAGGATCTTTTCACCAGGGAGCCCGGTCTGAGCTCTGCTCAGTTCGACGCCTATTTGGCTGACTTTCCCTGCCTTGAGGCAGCTGAAGCGGCTAGGTGCGAGGGTCCCATAACAGAGTCGGAAATCTGGGATGCGCTGAAGCAGGTTGGCCTGGATAAGTCTCCGGGACTAGATGGACTTCCCTACGAAGTGTACTTGAGGCTGTCGCCCATTTTTGTTCCTTTGCTGCAGCTGATTTACAACCACTGGATGAGGCAGGGGTCTTTACCCCGACGCTTCACCAGGGGTGTGATCAAGTTGCTGCGTAAGGACAAGAATGGTGGGGATGGGTTAGGGAACTTTCGCCCTTTGACGATGTTAAATACTGACTTAAAGATTTTGGCGAAGATCTTAGCCAACCGTTTGCAGCTTGTCCTGTCTCGTCTGATTGGCCCCGAACAGACTTGTGCTGTGAAGGGCAGGACGATTCAGGATAACCTTCATATGGTACGCTTGATCTTAGAACAAGTCGACAGTGAAGCCGCGCTGATCAATTTAGATCAGTCCAAGGCCTTCGATAGGGTTGACCATCGGTTTCTGGAGGCTGTCCTGTCGGCGGCCGGTTTCGGAGCCGACTTTCGCTCCTGGATCCGACTCTTGTATGCGTCCCCGGTGCGCTGGTGGAAGTGAATGGGGTAAGGTCGGAGCCTTTCGTATTGTCTCGCTCCATTCGTCAAGGTTGTCCGCTATCGCCCTTGCTTTACGTTCTTGCGTTGGAACCATTCCTTCGCAAGTTAAAGGCGAATCCGGTCCTGCGCGGAATTTCCCTACCTGGTGCTACCACCTCGGCCAGGTATTCTGCCTATGCTGACGACGTTTCGGCTCTTGTGTCGAGCAGAGCCGAGATTGACGAAGTCAGCAAAGAAATCAGTGGGTATGAGATGGTAACAGGGGCCAGGATCAACCGCGATAAGTCTGTGGGCTTGCGGTTGGGTGCGTGGAAGGAGTTTCTCTTCCCGGACCTTTCCCCTGGACGGATGGGCCGATCAAGATACTCGGCGTCTGGTTCGGTCCTGATCTCCAGTTGGAAATGAACTGGTCGGAGGTACAAGGGAAGGCCGAGGTCGCGGTTAATCTGTGGTCTCGGAGGAGACTTTCCTGAAGGGAAGGGCGGAAGTATGTGTTTCACATCTATCCGATCCTCCTCTACCGACTCTCTGTGCTTCCACTCCCGTATGCCCGGCTAATGTCATTAGTCCGGACCTTGTTCTCTTTCTTGTGGAAGGGCAAGGCCCCCATGGTATCTCGCGAGGTCTGTTGCCTCCATCCCTCTGAGGGCGGTCTGGGGATGCCTAGCATTGAGATCCGTCAATATATGCTTCGCATTACCTTTTTAGACCGAATGTGTCGTGGGTCGAATGAGGAGGGTGCCTTTTGGAAAGAAGACGTCCAGAAACATTTCCGTCCCTGAAAAGTGTGCACTCGTGCGAAGAAGAGGCCGGCCGTTACACCACGTGCCGAGTGCCCTTTTTATCGTGAATGTCGTCGCGCTCTGAAGCTCCTCTTACGGGCTTCGGATGGCCTCTCCAACGCCCAGGCGTTGTCTCGCAAGGCATTATATCAAGTTTTAGTTAGGGGTCCGTACAAGATGATCTGATTGGCGAGCTCGGTCTTACGAAGCAGGAGGCTCGCTCGATATGGCCTTGGGCGCCCGGGTTGAAATGCCTCAATAACGATGAGGCATCACTCACCTGGCTGGTGATTCGTGAAGCCCTCTGGGTCGGCAAGAGACTTTGTTCAGCAGGCTTGGAGAAATATCCAAACTGTCGTCGCTGTACGGGGGAAGTCGAGACCATTGGTCACGCCTTCTTTCAGTGCAGGGCGGTAAGTGCCGTTGTGCAGGTTTGTTGAAGGCCTCATGGTTCGCATGCTGCAGGGAAAGTTTTTTGTCCTGGAAGCCTGTTCTGTTTGTAGCAATGTGGTGCCGCAGATGACGAAGGCTGAACACTATGTGTTCTGTTGCTTACTAGGGGTTATGAGAGTCGTGATTTGGACGACGCGTCAGAAGGGATTCCATGAGGGCGAGAAGTTCACTTCTTCCCAACTGATCTTGTTCTTTAAGCATCAGCTTAAAGTCAAGATCAGGACGGAAAGGCGGCGGCTCACCTCATCGGAATTCAGCAAAAGGTGGGTGAATCTTGCGCGAATGTGCCGAGTAAAAGGGCTGACCTTGAGTGGCATTTGGATGCCGGTTAGGCATTGGGATATTGTTTTCCTGGGTTAAACCTAGGCAACCCATCCCGAAGTTAGGTTAGATTAGGTTTTTGCATTTTTTTTCCTTTAGTTTTTTTCTATTATGGTAAACTTAGCTAGAGTGTAATTGCTCATTGGTCCCCTTTTATTTCTGTCCCCATTTTCTTTTCCTTTAGTTTAACTCCCCATCCCCTCCCTCTTTCTTAGGTGGTTAGTGATGTCAGTTCTCTGGTTGATGCAGGGCGCCTTTTTTCGTTTTCGTGTGTGTGTTTTTCGTATTTGTTGTTGTGTATGAATGAGTGTGTGCCTGTGTGAATGCCTGTGGAAGAATGAGTGTGGCTTTATTTTTCATAAGTCCCGCATCGTTTTCGTCCGGTTAACTGATATTTCTGCCACATTCAAGAGTTTGTGGGGGTTTTATTACTAACACAAATTTTATTTAGTTTCTTGTAAATATATTTTGCCATTTTGTATATATTCATTGGGGATCATTTTTAGAAGTTGTTGTTTTTATGCCCTCCCCCACAGACAATATTTTGTATATAAGGGAATATTTAGGTTTTTTCATGGAGTCAAAGAGGTATTTTGGTGTCTGTAGTAAGAAAAGGTATGGATAAATGTGTTGTTTTGGTGAAAGGATTATTGTTCTGTATGATAGGGTCAGTGATTGTGGCTAGCTAAGTTTTAATTTTAGGACAAGTGATGACCGTCTTTTACCCCAACCCCCTTTTTGGCCTTGTGCCGTATTTGTACTAATGTACAATAAATAATGATATGTATTAAGTTACAACCTGCTTTATTTTTGTCTGCCAGCTGGACGCTAGTTGGAACTCTTACGCCGGTAAGTGCTTTTTATTATTGTTATTCTACAGTTACCTTTCATTTAATCGTGTGTTCCACTTTTCCATGCTCTTTATTTACTTGCAATGGTATATTTGCATACGTTATCCATTAAGGTGTTCTGCTTCAGGTTCCTGAAAAGACCTAAAGTGTGGTATATGCTTCCATCGGTATTTCTATTTAGTCTCATTTCTGTGTTTGCATTGCATGTTTTGGTAGTATGTATATAAGCAAAAAGAAACAAAAACATACAATTTCTCTACTTGAACGATGGCACACTGATTTTGCCGTATGAGAGTTATATCATGCACACTAAGAATTTATTGTAGCCAGAATTTACTCAACTTAGAATCGTCTTGCAAATGCCATGAGATTTGGATATCAACTGAGGACCGAAATTAGTACCGTAGAGGATTCGGTAGCTGACGAGCTTCCAAACTGCTGCGGATACCGAAGTACGTGATAACTGGTAGCATAAAGAAAGTTTTACTTTTTTTAATTACTTTCGTGGGAAACGTGACTAATGCTGCTGAGGACTATGAAGTCAATTTTTCAATTCTACTGCCTTGAGGAATCAAACGTTGGAAGATTTCTTCATGATACCTATTTGATTCTTTAGGAAATATCCTCTGAAGTTGCACCGTTGTTTGTATGACTTGCGTGTTCATAAGATATAATGAAATAACTGATCTTAGAGATCTGAGAGAATTGTGAATCCTTGTAGCTGTAAGGGAAATTGGCCTGTATTGTCAAAGTTTGCAAAACGATCTCTATCTACTAGCCCGGGTATCAGCATGTAATGTTTGATTTCATGTTCTACATTGTTGTATCAGTGGCAGGATTTTTTTTATTTTTTGATATCTTAGTTTGCAAAATATACTGGTACAAATATTAGTAGAATATATCAAGTATCATTCTAGAGAATAGAAAGAGGATAACGGTTTGCAAAATTTTACACTTGACATATATCTAGGTAAGCAACACGTAACCTACATAAAGAGCACCTGCAGAAGGGCCATTGAACAGAGAAGCGACTTGTTTATATATTGCATTGTTACAAGCACAAAACTATGAATCTTGGATGCGAACTTATTCTACACTTGTGAACAACGACACTAAGTTGCCATTTATTGACATATGGTTCCGCCAGAAAGAATTGTTAGAACTGCTAAGTAACCTAGTCATATTGGGTAAGGTGATCAGAAAGTATACTAGTAAAAAACATGTTTTATATGGAAGAAAAATGAGTTATATTTATGAGTTCAATATATACATAATATTTATATGAGTTCAATATATATATAATATTTATATGCGTTCAAATATATATATATATATATGCGTTCAATATATAATATATATATATATATATATATATATATATATATATATATATATATATATATATATATATATATATAGTTATATATATATATATATATATATATAAGGTAATATATGCAAATGGCACATTGTTAGTAGCAGGCAAAGAAAGAAAAACACGGGACCTCCTGGAGTAGCTAGTAAAGAAAAGCGAGAAGAAAGGATTAGATCCCAATTACAAGAAGACTGATTGCATCGATGTTACCATCAAAATAAAACTCATTTTCAAATTACAAATACCAAATTCAAACAAGTACATTTAAACTAGATTTAATCGAGGACGACATACGTGACATTGGAATCCGAATGCCAGTTAGGATAACGAAAGTACCCTTTCAAAATATAAGGATAGATTTAAGAAATAGAAAAAGAACCTGAACCATAGAAAAGAACACTGAAATGTTAGGCAAAATCAGTCCCCCTATATAAAAATGGATGATGGGCAATCTTCTCACAGATTAATAAGAGACTTGAAGCAACAGGAATATATTTCTGCAGGAGGTTGCTCAGGAGACCATGAATCGAACATGAATGTTTTAGATAAAATAAAAAGCATAAAAAAAACGCAACTATACTAATCACCAGGAAGAGACATTTTAAATTACTAGAAAACATAATTTAGAAAGAAGGCTTGGAAAAATATAATATACACAGAACACAATGAAGGAGTGTGAGACAACACATATCATACCTAGAAGGTTTGTGTAAATGCATGGCTACGCAATGTATAGGAGTGATAACAAAAAGACAAAATATATTAAGACCTACCAAGGAGAAGAAATTGTGGCGAGGCCTGACCGCCTCCGTCCTTTGTACATAAGTTAAGAAGAAACGGGTATCTTTATTTTGATTTAATGCGTTTAACTGTCTTGTGTCAAACGGCAACGAGCGCTCCAATGAAATATCTGAAACATACTAGAATAATCAAATAAAACATGTTAAACAAATTTTATTTGCTTCATATTGCATAGTCTTAGTAGATGTCTTCTGTTATATCGTAAATATCGACGTAAATCTCTATTATATCGTAAGTCATTGCATGATTTGCCAGAGAGACTCGTATTCTCAATTTGGCCTCTATAATGAAAATAATTTGGCCGTTGAATAATATCAGTTAACACTCAACAATCCTATTTACTTTTACGTTGCTTGATAACTTCCACTCGAGAATAACATTATGTGACCCTAATATTAAACTCATGACTCCCAGGACA